GCCCTGAGGGGACTGCCCGGCTGTCACCCCCGGCCGCCGGCCGGTTCCCGCCGCGGGGCGGACCTCGGTGTTGTGAGGGCTCTTTCTTATTTTATTTCTTTTCCCCCAGATGAAGTTAACCTGAAAACGACACTCGTGAGCTCCACCTGCTACCAGGTGTGAGGAGCTGGCGAGAACCAGCCCCAGCCGCCGCGCCCCATGGACAGTGCTGAGGTGGGTTTTCTCAGCATCTTACCTGAAGCACAGGTCGGCTCCTCGCTCTGTCCCTACGCGGGCTCCGAGTCCTTCCCCGAAAAACTCCCTGCCTGGGGAGCTCCAGTGCCCCCCCACAGGTGTTCGCCACCCAACAGTTGTCGCTCAGATCTGTTTCTTTTCACCCATGTGGAATTAATTCCTCTAAATCATCGACACACCTTCCTAGCTGCTTCTAAAAATGAATGGTGTTATAACTAAATTCTGTATACAGTACTGCAAGCTTCTTTGCGGAGGCTTGGAAATAAAAGTTAAGCGATTTATTTTCTTTTTCTAAGGGCCAGGTCTTCAAGGAACATACCATCTATGGAGACAATTAAGACTCAGTGACACCTTAATTGTCTCCCTTAAGAATGAGCCTTAAGAATATATAAACACAGCATTGTGCTGCGTAAGGATACCCAAGCTAGCCAGGTCTCAAAATCAATACGACTGCATTAGTGAGGAGGCACAGTGCCCTGGGTAATTCATCCTGCAGAGAAAAACTGCGGTGGCAGGGTCATACTGCTTTTGATATCACTAGTTCACGCAGAACTATTTCAGAAACCTGCCCAACATTGCATTGTATTTTCAAAAGGCTCAGCAGTTTTTGTTTGGTTTTAGTCTTTCGTACCAGTCCTTGTAGAAAATACCTTTACAGCTACAGCCAGGACTTACTCCATTTAGCTGAACAGGATGTTTGAGGAGGACCAAGCTGTTACCTTTATATGTCCCATTCCTTAGAAGAAAACCTTGGTTGGTTGTATGAGACACCAGTAGACTATCAGGACTCTTGGTATTGTGAGATTAATAGTTCAGTGCTTGGAGACACTCTAGCAAGCAGGGAGTGAAAAATGTCCACCCTTTCACAAGGCAGAATTCAGTCTCTGCTACTGGAGATCAGGTGCATTCCTACTCGTAGCTGAAGAGATGGTAATGGGAATCTTACGATTTAAATAGAGTAACAGCGCACAGGAGAAGCAGTGAGTCAAGTGAATCTTTGTATATAGTAACTACCATCTCCCTTAAATCCCACTTTAGAGAAAGCCTGCAAAGATGGATCATTAACAGAAGCCGTGAAAAACATATGCGTATTTGTCAGCAGACAAAAGGTGAGATTACAGCTCATGCATCCCTTGGGCTGAAAAGTTTTTTTGCTCACCCTCAGATCCATAATATTCTTGCGTGTGTGGGCAAATGCCACAGAAGGGTGTGTAAATGGTTGCTAAGCAAAGCAACTAGTGCTTTCCAGATCTGGAGTCTCCAGTTGGTTTTATCAGAAGTTTTATTTTCCAGTACTTTTCACCCACTGCTCAGTCCCATTCCCTCCTATTTCCCCTTAGATTCCCATTTTTGTACCTGTGTTTGTTTCTCCTCAGCACTAAATTAAAGTGCACCACGAAGCACCAGCCTCTGGTGTCACATTAAGGTGAAATACTGCCACGCCAGGATGGATCAGTATTATTTGCATTATGGCAGCACTTAGTGGGTCAATTGAGATAAGTGGCCCTTTATGCCAGATATTTTACAAAACATATGAGACAAACAGACTTTGTAATCTAATTAGACAGGACAGAAAATGGTAGAGAAAAACAAGACGGAGTGAAATGATTAAGCACACTTGCAGAGCAAAGATTCTGGCAGAGACCAGAGGGATGACCAAACTTTTCTGGGTCGAGAGTGAATTCCCTGGATTGTACTTTCTCATACCAGGCTGGAGGCCCCATAATAGTACACACTTACAATATACACTACTTTCTGTCAGAAATTTGGGGGTATTTATACTTTTCAAAGCTTTTCAGGGAAAGGTGCTGTTACTTTACTGTCTAAAAAGAGATTAAAGCTCAAAAAAGAAAAACACTGTTGTAGATGTTCTTTCCTCCCAACTTCCACTGGGACAGAGCAATATTTCAACATTATTCTCACACTAAATCCAAAACACAGCACTGTACCATCTGAAAGGAAGAAAATTAACTCTACCCCAGCCAAAACTAGGACACTGCTGCCCTGTGGTGGTGCTATCCTTCATTGGGAAATCAGAAAAAAGAGAAGGAGAGGAGAGGGAGGAGAGGAGTAGGAGGAGGAATAATTTCAATTGGAAGGGACCTGCAATGATCATCTAGTCCAAGTGATAATATTCCTTTACTACAATCAGTCTGGATCCCTTCTCGAGGGCTGACTTTTCCAAACACCTTACCTCACAGTTCTTAGGGGTTTCTTTACAGAATAATTTTGCTTAAGAATGCTCCTAGATAGAATAAGGAAGCACATTAACATACCGTTATAAAAGGATTAGTATTTGGAGATTTTAAGTGCTCTAGTCTGAACAGGCAATGCAGTCTTTCCTCCTTCCAGGGTGATCAAGTTTCAGGCTGTTGGGATTTTCACCTTAGATAAACTCTTCAAAATACAAATTCTGTCTGTTGTATATTAAACACCAGATTTCCTGTGCTGCTGTTTGAAAGAGAGATTTTATTCTAGGTTATTGACCAAATTTCCTAACTCTTGTTTTGCGATATTGAGGTGAACTGTCTGAATTCAGCTGCTGTATAGGATGATGTTAACTCTCAGATCATGTAAAATAGATTGTTCTCAGTATTAAGCATATGAGCAGTCCCACAGGCTTAAAGGAAGTAGTTGTGTATGTAAATGTGCATTTAAATGATTTTCAAGATGAAGTTACAAGTGGAAGACATTCTCCACCCAACAGGTAGCCACATTTCAATGGCAAAGTGATATATTCTGATTACAGATTCATTGTAAGCCTCTTTGAGATCTTTTTGGTGAAGGAAGCATTATACACGCATACATTGCTGCAGTGTTTTCAAGATTCACAACAGGGTTGTATCACTAAAATAAGCTTTTTAAAAGAAATGCAAGACAATATTAATTTCATCTATTTTTTTAAATCAAGTTAATAATTGTTATAAACTTATGGTAGAAAAATTAATGGCAAACACCCAAGATCATGTTAGTGTCACATACTTTCTATTTTTCTTTCCTGTCCATTATCCAAATGAGAGCACTTTCTAGTGGAATCATGATAAATCCATAATATTTTATTCTACCCTATTTACTTTTAAAAGAGCAAACAGACAACATTGCAAATGCACTGCCAAGATGTATGGGTGATTTTGCATTAAGTAAATGCAAATCCTGGTAAGTAAAATTTTGTGGACAGTTTTAAAAGTGTACAAAATTTCAGCAGGGAAGTTTTTTGTCTTTTTATAATATAGTGGCTTTATAATATGGTGACTAAAACTTTGGAATTTGCATTGCTTTTTGGAATTTGAATTTCTAGGGTATTAAGGCATTACCCAATTTAGATTGACTTTTCCACCTTAACTTCTTTTTATAGTTTCTGTCTAGATTTTCTTCCTGAAAAGGAAAATAATCAAACCTGTTAAGCTGCAGTAAACGACTCATGTCTTACAAGTTAGTGATACAGCCCTAAAATTATTCAGTAATGTTTTAACAGAATAGGTCTTCACTTGAAAAGGTCAATGTTTGAAACCAGCACTCTTCACTGTAAAGTATATGCTACTTTTGGCAGAAAGGTTTTAGCAAAGATGCAGTTTCTTCTGAGGGAGGAGGGTGAGATTGTATGAATAAACAGTATTCCAGTGGCTGTAGCAAAGAGCCTACCGGTGTTGGGTGGGTCAGATTCAAGTCTCTTTTTCCTGATTCAGTGAGAGTTTTTGTCTCCCGTCTTTCACATCACACGTAAGATCTTAACCACTAAACTACTGGCTGACACTCAGTTGGATTCTTCCCTCTGTTTCCCTGTTTATACTTTGTATAAACAAACATTAATTTTAGCAGAGACATGAACTTGCAACTTCCAGTCTGTGCCTGAGCTCAGCAGCTGTTCTGTGTGAGCTTCCCTTTCTTCTTTCATCAAAAACAAATAAATAAACACTTAAAGGATTTTCATGCAAATATGAAATGTGAAAACATTTGAGTTTTCTAACTTTCACACGACAGCCAAATGTTTCCCATACAGTTTTAGTCAGCTTTACAACACATTTGAGTTCAAGGGAAGTTTATATAGTAATAGCGTTATAAAAGAATTATTAAATAGAATTTGCTTTGTATCGTCATGTTCCTTTCCTTCAGTTTCTGTATTTGATCTATTCACTGTTACCTCTTAAAATAGATAGTAAGGACTTCAGAGCAGGTATGATATGGATATGGATGTATCCGTTTCCTATGGATATTTCTTTAATGCACAATGACAGAAAAGTCAGTGGTGACTGTTTGCAGCACTACATGACATTAAGTTCTCTGCAGAATGGCGGGCTGCAAATTGCCACCCATCTTTGGTTAGTTCCTCCTCAGTGTTCTCTAACACGTTATCACCAGTTTCTTGTCCAGAAAATTCCCAGATTCAGTTATCTATCCCTACAAATCTTCCACTTTTTTCCTTATTTTTCCTTCATGCATGTATAAATTATTGAATTCATTCATATTTTCTAGAACTCCATAACTGTGACTATAACTGTGTGCTGTGTCCCAGGTTCTTTCTACCGTACCCTCTCTTCACTGCCATTGCTGTGTCATTGAGGATCACAAATAAGATGGCAAACCAGTGCTGTTATTTGATGTGCTCAAGAAGACACGTACCTGACAGCTACTGCTGCTTCCAAGTTCATGTTCCTTGCTGCAGTCATGACACGTTTACAGATCTTTCAAATCAAACAACCCTTTCTCCCCCCACACACGTGTATGATGAGATTTTTTTTTCATAATGGGAAGAGATAGGAAGTCTAAATAGAGAAATCAGTACTGCTGACTGTGTATACAATTAAAAACAAGAACTACAACAGCCTTTGTGCTTTGTTCAGATTTCTGTAGAAGTATAGTTTCCCAGGCTGTAAAGTGGAAACTAAATACATTCCTGGATATGGTAAAATTTTTGTAATAGTCTCAAGTGGGAGAGATGACATTTTTTTGTGAATGCAATATTCTTTTCAGATCTTGCTAACGGAGGAGAAAGCCTGTTTTAAGTTCTTTGCAAATCACCATTCTTCTTCTTTCCCAATGAGAAGTAAAATCAAATTCTGTATTTTTAAACATGATGCTGAATCTTTCCTCCTCTACTTCCTTCTGCTCTCCAAAAAGCAATGAAACGCAAAAGGACATACTCTTCTACAGAATTTTTGTTTCAGAGAGTGTGCAAGCTACTTTTCATACCAGAAAGCAACAATAAAGAGCAAATTTTGCTTTGTGGCTTATACTCATAAATTTGATAATGAAGCCAAATGCAGAGTCTTTCTTCATTTCAATACCAAGTAACTCTTAAAATGCCTTTAAAAATCACTTTCATAGAGCAAAGAACAACCACTAAGTTCTGAAATTTATGTGGGCCCCAAACATCATAATTTATAAATTCAGGTAAAACCAGCATCTGAATATAATTCAGTTGTCGCAGAGAGAATACAAATAGATCCACAGAAGTATCAGTAGATTCTTCACTGAAAGAAGATCAACTTGCTAAGGTACATTTAGAGGGGGAAAACCACACCTCAATTCAGAACGTAAGGAAGATAAGTTGTTTCGAACTTTATTATCCTTTTTGGGTTTGAGATTCTGTGGTGTTGCCTCTTTGACATGGCCTCCTGCTTCCTCGCTGATAAACAAAATATTTAATTATACTCCTCACAAGAGTACTTTTCAACATCAATATTCTCCCAGTTCTCTCGAGTTTCATGACAGGATGTGGCTCAGTTGTCTCTATGCATAGTAAATACCCAATATTCCTTCTAACTTAGCGCTTTATAGGACTAAGCTGTCATACTTTGTGAACCTCTAACATTTTTAGCATGGAACAACTAAATGTATAGCTTTGAATAATGACTGAAATAAACCAGCACTGTCATTTCATCAAAGGCCTATTTTTATACCTTCCAAATATACAGGACAAGTAACTGGATATTTACTGATTTTTGCACAATTGATATAATTTACCCATGGATCTATGAGGTTCACATGAAGTGCCTATTTTGTTCAATTCTGCATATTTCCAAAAAATTTATTGTATTTTTCTTACTCTCTTCTTTTTCCCTGTTATGCACATTTTTGTAGGAAATAATACATATGGAAAAAATGGATT